GTCAAATGTTATGGTTCTGGTTTTCATTGATATTGTGATGTTCATTGTATTCGATATAATAAAATTTAAAATGATTTTACAGAGAGCTCTATGAAAATAATGACAAGGAGTATAGCTGACAAACACAAGTACAGTCATACATGTAATGGTAATACAGTGACGGTTCTTATGTGACAAATGCCTTCACGGAGAGGAGAAATCCTTCAAAGAGTATTTTAGTATGGCATATTACAGAGAATTCAGTGCTTATCTTCTATTTTTTTACACAAGTGTCCATCCTGTAACATATTTCATTTCACAATGGACGAATAGCTTCACTTTATACTCTCTTGTTACTGTTTGCCTAATTGTTCATTACAGTGTTTCAGTTTTACAAATTGTGAAATGCTGAAGGGCATACACTAAAAACTTTTGAAATTTTGTCTGTTCTTTAATAAAATTGTCTATCCCATAACAGCTCCCATGTTTGAAATGCTATGTCAGTTTTTCTCATTCAGTTTCATGTTTATTTTAAGAGATGACGAATAAATGTATGTTTTTCTTTTTAAACTGGAAAAGACTGTTTACATTAGTATCTGAGGAGAGATCATAACTATTTTATCAAAGTGTCCTTCCTGTAACACTTTCTGTTCTTCCTGTAACACAGATGTCTTTCCCGTAACACAGCACTATTTTAGCATAAGTTGACAAACTGACTGAAACAAGCATTCAAAAGGATGTAGCTTTTAAGGTTATGATACCACTTTAACAAATAACTGATTCAGACGAATGTATTGTTGGCAAATCTGGTAACGATTAAGATGTATGTGTTACACATCCAAACCAAAATATGTAAAATGGTATGACAAGTTGATTTTTTTCACATATTTGAACTATTCTTATTTCCATTTTAATCTAAAACTGAACATCATAACTTAAAGAGATTCTGAAAGTTATTATTCTAATCAAACAACCTTCTTTAACTGAATCTTGACCAATTTTAAAACTGTTTGAGACATTTGCCACCTCTGCTACAGGATAAAAGATTTTAAAAATATTGTGCCAAAGGGTTGTAAGATTGCAATTTGTTATTTTCACACTTTGCAGTTGTTGTTAAAAGCAAATATGAAAATAAAATTTTCATTTTGAGAGACTGGATTATATCTTTTTTCAATCTTCAAATTCTGTCATTTTTTGATAATGACTCATATAATGCGACATACAGTCTTATATTCTCTATAATGTGGTCAGTTACTAATTCTTTAATTTAAATAAAATTATTGCAAAGATACCAAGTATCTTATTTTTCCACCTCATTTCTTCTAGATGACAGACTCGCACACACAAGATGCAACAAATCTTGGAAGTACCCAAGGTGAGTTGAGTCAAAATTATGATGAAATTCAGTATTATTATCAGTCCATGGGCAGCCACTTCAATAAGCACAAGCAGCCAGCAAAACAGATTATTATAACCAGGGTATTTTGGAAAAAGGGTTTTTTAGTATTTACTTAGAATGTAGTTTACGAAATTAAGCTTTTGGGTGAAAATATGGATGCATATGAGAGAAGTGACCGTACAGGGTGAGGGCATAACCCCCAGGGCAAATGATTATTGATTTTGCTTCTCTTAAGTGATAGAGATAACTTTTCATTAGTACGATGAAATTAGTAGAATACGGTCTTGTAGTATAAGGGTCAGAAGGGAAATGAATGGATGGAACAAAAGTTGTTAGTCCTGATGTGATCAAATATTTGCTACTACGTGACTGGAATGTCTAAATAACAAGCTTCATTTGAATCACAATCTTTTCGGGGCCTTCCAGTCTGACAGAGTATTGGGTTTTCATCTAGGGTTGTTTTGAGTTGTGGGTATGTTCGGTTGACCAATGATTTGACCATTAATTTAGGAAATTAGTTGAGTGTTTGGTTTGGTTAGAAGAACTTGATAGAAAGACTGATTGAAATGGGAATTGGGGTACATAGAGAAGTGAGCGTTATGACTCATTTCTCATGATGTAAAATATGATTTCGGTGGGAGGAGATAAAATTATCATCGATAGTATTTTGTTAGTTGTCCGAGAGTGGTGCGGGGAGTCGGGAGCATACAGCTGAACAGAAAGGTTCACTGTGGTTTTGGGATCCCGAGTCAGAAAAGAAGTAGAGTTAACGTTCATCAGAAAAACCATCAGGCTCTTCAACCATCATTTAGGTATGTGTTGTACTTAAGAAATTCAGGCAACAACAAGAATTTATCTGAGGACCATGTGTGCATATTTATGATTAATTCTATCATAAATAAAAAGGACTGGAGCAAACCATCTGACTTGTGATTTTGAGATAGCTACATCATCCCTAGAACCAAGGAGTAGTTGATAAGTAGAAGTGACCATAGGTAGAAGGGTAAAGTACCCGGAACCTAAGGTTACATATGGCGGAAATGCTCTAAGATCACCGTACCATGCTCATCACAAGTTTGAACAGTTTGCATCTGCAGCTGAGTTGCTGGACACTTGATGGTTGTTAGCCTGACACGAGCCGATGCTATTTGCCATTCACGGTAGGTGATGTCCTGTAAAGCAAGAATTGATTGTGAGGGATGTGTTTTGCCCTTGTATATGTGAACTATGCTCACCATCGGGACTATGGTTCACTGTCTGAAAGCCGTGGGGTGGTCAGTTTCCCATGAAGAGACTGTGTTATTGATTTACGGCTACTACCATAAAAGTGATATTGATTTTCTAGTGTGGGACAGTCACACTGATGGAGGACCCTAGCTGCACGCTTGTGTGCATAGGAACTTTCTGCAGTATTATAACACTGTTATTATCTCTCATCACCAACAATGAGCACGAGAAGTCTTGAAATTATGATGTTGAATTTGGACATATTGTCAGAGAAGAACCAAAGTGACTCAAAATGTTTCATGACAATGAAAATTGTTCTGCCTCTGATATTACAGAGACAAATGACAGTTTATTTTCAAGAGGACTTGGAAATAAGGACAAATTAGACAACAGTTTTGCAGCTTTAGCAAGGGCTTTTTCCCTAAGTCAGTTTTCTCTTGAGAAATTCAATGGAAGTGATCCAGAAATTGCAAGTTCATGGTTAAGCAGATATGAGAAATTTAATTCTTTACATAATTATTCAGAAGAATGGACAAAGACAGCATTTAGTTTATGGTTAGACAAAAATGCTTTGAAGTGGCATGAAGCTCAAGACTTCAGTGAAAAGTCCTGGAATGAGGTGAAGACAGCTATCCTTGCAAGGTACAAACTAAATTCAGCAAAAAGATATGAAAGACTAGACAAGCTTTATAATAGGAAACAGAAACAGTCTGAGGATTTTGAGGACTTTCTTCAAGAATTGCAATATGAAGCAAAACGTCTTGAAAGACTAGACGACAACTTTCTCATGGATGCCGTCATTAGGAATTCTCAACCTCACATTAAACAGTTCATTTTGACAAGATTGCATGAGACCAAGGATCAAGTCCTGGAAAGTGCAAGAATAGCAGATGCTGCATTTGGACTGGCCACATCAGAAATTGACAGACTTGTGTCTGTTATAGAGGAGCTCGTTGGACAAGTATCCTTACTGACCAGTGCTGAAAATACTCGAACAGGAGGGAACTTTTCATACGAGCATCAGGATGACTCTATGTACAGAAAACAGTACATTAAAACTGCAGGGACTGAGTGTACTGATGACCAACAACCAGTGAAGAACGGGACACAAACATTCCATCAACATAACAGAAGTGGTTGTGCATCAACACATGTTGATATTGGGGACATGAGTGACAATGATGTTCCCTACAGACAAAACTGGAGCCTACCTACTTGTCATTTCTTGATGAGTTTTGGTTGCCTACTTTTGGAACAAGAGAACCCTTTGATAATTAATTAATAAATTATTCTGCTGCCTACTTTTTAACTCTTAAACTTAATGAAACCAGGAGAGAAATGTTACATTATTTTCATCTTTATCTGTAATAGCAACAGTAATTGTCATTGTCAAATTCTGCGCAATAGTCACGATTCCATTTGGTGAGAAGATTTTAATTAAATTACCCCTGAGACAGTCAGTGGAATGACATCAATATTCAGATATCAGGAGCAATCTAATTGTCCCTCTGATTATAAACTTAGATGTACAGAATATGTATGTAATTTGAAACCATGATTCTGCTTTTTGTAGCAGAATATGACCCGGCCAAATCATGAAATGATAACCTGAAATGTACATAAAATCACATATAATGCACCACTGTGTAAAGTACTGTTAGTGTCTTGCATACTAAAATTATATTTGGCTAAATGAACTGATAAAACAGCACAGTGATTTTGGATATTAGTGCTGATAGGTTAGCACTGAGATGATTTATTTAAACTCGGCATTCAAAATTTGTGTTGGAGACTTTGGTCCCTAACTTATCTTTTATCATTGCAGTTGGTTTAATATCAAAATGTGGCAGAACCTGGTATCACAGTAAACCCTTTGTGTTGTCTGACTCAGTTGTTTACATTGGAATTCATGGATTGTTTTGTTTTCAGGTGTTCAAGGATCTCTTGCCATGACAGGAAAATGTGCCAAGTGTAGATATCAATGTCGGTAGGTGAAGCTTTACTATTAAAAGTATTAATTTTGATTTTCATTAAGAAACCTGGATAAAAATATGCATAATTACTAGCAATTTAATAGGGATGTCAAATAGTGAATAGATCATGCAGATTTTGAAAAACAAATGGTCTTCTAAATAGAGTTGTGACGATAGATCAATACGTATTCGTATCACGATCCAAGAACATGCGATACGATACATCGTTACGTTTTCTGTTTATCGATATATTTACGATACATTACATTAATTGAATCTACCTGTTTTGATGCGTAATATTTGGTTATAAACTCGTTTTAATTATCCACAATAAAACAGAATTGAGATCTTGTTCATTTTTTCCTACTGATATGAAGTAATGAACATGACAGTAAATGTAAAACAAAAAACAAACTGCATAATTTTGCTTAATTGATTTTATTTCTCAACTTACAGGCATGTTCAGCATTGAAATGTGTACAGTGATACGTATCGAATCGAATCGTATCGTAAAGCATGTATCACAATATGTATTGTATCGTGGCAAATGTGTATCGTCACAACTCTACTTCTAAAGCATCCATTGGAAATTGTTCAAAATGTGAGCAAACTTTGTCTCAGAAAGAAAAGAAAAAATGATATGCTAAGTGTTTATCTTATCAGTATAATACTTCAAAAGAACAATGTAAGTGAATGAATTTAAATTTTACTTTTCTTGCAATTTTAGTTCTGCTTGTATATTAATTTAGTCCTATTCCAAAAAAGGACACTTTCAATTTATGAAAGAGCAATTAATACTTCACTTGACTATTTTTTAAAGTAAAGTATTAACATGTCTTTCTTTTCAATAACAGGTGCAAAGACATTTCAAGACTGAAGGAAAGAGTGCGACATCTTGAGGAGGCCTTCAAGAAGCTCCAGGCAGAGAAGCAGAACACATCTTCCCAACTTGTGTCTCCTGTGGCATCACCATTAGCTTCACCACTAGCTTCGCCACTGGCCAGTCCAGCAGCAAAACTCCCTGGTGGCCGGCTGTTACACCCTCCCCATGTGCCCCATGTGAAGCAGTGACCTCACAAGTCAACTCCCTGGTGGCCGGCTGTTACACCCTCCCCATGTGCCCCATGTGAAGCAGTGACCTCACAAGTCAACTCACTGGTGGCCGGCTGTTACACCCTCCCCATGTGCCCCATGTGAAGCAGTGACCTCACAAGTCAACTCACTGGTGGCCGGCTGTTACACCCTCCCCATGTGCCCCATGTGAAGCAGTGACCTCACAAGTCAACTCCCTGGTGGCCGGCTGTTACACCCTCCCCATGTGCCCCATGTGAAGCAGTGACCTCACAAGTCAACTCCCTGGTGGCCGGCTGTTACACCCTCCCCATGTGCCCCATGTGAAGCAGTGACCTCACAAGTCAACTCACTGGTGGCCGGCTGTTACACCCTCCCCATGTGCCCCATGTGAAGCAGTGACCTCACAAGTTAACTCCCTGGTGACCAGCATCTCCCATTTACCGAAGACAAATATACAGCTGTGTGTCAAAGAGCTGGCTCATCTGGACTTCAGTGAGGAAGAACTGAGGGACTGCTCTTTGAGTGGGAAAAAGTCCCCACATTCCAAAGAAATTGCTAGACCTCCATTAGATAACACAAAGGTTGCCTCATTTAAGCAAGCTGCAATGAAGCACAAGCCAGGTACTGAGTGGAACCAAACAAGGGAAAAGTTTCAGAATGTGCAAAAACAGAAAAGAAGTCAAAGTCAACCTAGGCAATTTTAAAAAAGAAATTTAGTATGGAGTGACATTTTTAACATTTGGCTATTAAAATAAAGTTAAGAGTTTTAGAAACCATTTCACAGTTATTTGTATTGATAAATGTCTCAATAACTATCAACTTCGTAAATATCTGGACCAGTCAGAATGTTTTCATTTAAAATTTCTTGATTTTTATATTCTCATTTGATAGTAAAGTTGTGAACTTTGACAAATTTATTTTATATCAATTTTAAATCTAAACTTGTGGGGATCATCAAAATAATCAGCTCCCAATGTATCGTGTAACGTACAAGAATATTTTTAAATGCAACACTTTTGTAATATACTTTTCTGTGACATTTTTAATGGCACTTCTAGTCTTCGCCTTGATAAAAGGATAAATCAGAAGTCAATATTTCTAATGTAAATGAGCTTCAGTGCTAGGTCACAAGCTGTCCATGGTATTGGTCATCAAAACCAAGTTTATGTGACAGGTTAATGTGCATTAGCTCACTTGATGTCAGAGTTTGCTGTTTCATTGAAGTACTGCTGACAATATAAATGATTGTATTTTATACCTTTTGTTTGTCTTTTTTAGATGTCTTGAAAGTGCACTTTAAATCATTCTTGGCAAAACCAAGTTGCCCCTTGTTACATCCCTCAACTGGTTAAATTATTGTTAGACACACTTCTTTTTTGAAAATGGCACAGAACTGTGTTTCTTTACAGCTGCAGAGTTCGTTAATAGTTCAGGAACTCATCATGAAAGTTTCCTGAAGACTAAATGGCCATTTGACTTCATGAAAAGTTCATGAACTTGTTCATGCATTCGTTCGAGAAAATTTCATGAACTTATTCACCAACAACTCGTGAACTAGTTCATGAACTTGTTCGTGAACTTAGTTCACGAAAAAGTTTGTGAAGTGAAAAGTGGCCATTTAGTCTTCACGAAAAGTTCATGAAAAGTTCATGAAAACTTCGTGAAATGTTCATGAAATGTTCGTGAATAGTTCATGAAGTATTCATCAAATTTTCGACAGGGAAAGACCAAACCTTCAGAATAAAGTCACCTCCTGACTTTCAAACTATCGCATGTCCTGGAGATGGGGGTGATAGAGTCAGGAGAGGTGAACAATCTTGTTCTAAATGTGGGCAAAGAAAGAACTAAACCTTCACAATCAAGTCACTTCCTGACTTTCAAAGTATCGCATGTCCTGGAGATGGGGGTGGTGGAGTCAGGAGAGGTGAACAATCTTGTTCTAAATGTGGGCAAAGAAAGACCAAACCTTCACAATCAAGTCACTTCCTGACTTTCCAACTATCGCTTGTCCTGGAGATGGGGGTATGTGAGTTTAGAGAGGTGAACAAACTTGTTCTAAATGTGGGTAAAGAAAGAACTAAACCTTCACAACCAAGTCACCTCCTGACTTTCAAAGTATTGCATGTCCTGGAGATGGGGGTGGTGGAGTCAGGAGAGGTGAACAATCTTGTTCTAATGTGTGGACAAAGAAAGAACCAAACCTTCAGAATAAAATCACCTCCTGGCTTTCAAGTTATCACTTGTCCTGGAGATGGGGGTGGTGGAGTTTGTAGAGTGGCACTGTGTCAAGCCTGCTCACCCTGCACGCAAGGCAACAGTGCTATTGATTATATTTTCTTTTCTAGTGTTGGACAGTTTACGAGACTCAGCTCCCTGTGTCATGCCTGAGAGACCGAGGCTTTCATGGACATTTACTTTTTGCTTTGTGTATTGTATTCTGTAGTATCAGAGATTTCACTGTATTTCTCATGGTTATTGTTTGTATTCATTACACAAAGTCATGTCATCTGATGATGATGAAGAGACAGAAGTCAAATATTCTACTTCCATCAACCGTGCCTCCATTGATTTCCCAGAATTGCTCGTTTGTTTTGCTACTTAAACTGATCAAGTGGTTAGATCTCCAAATAGGGAGAGAGAGTCATCATTTTTGGCACCTACCCACGAGGGAGGGTTAGACAGCTTTGACGAGTCTATTGGTGACAAAACTGTTAATTTCAAAATGTCATTTGATCAGGAAGAAGGTGGAGCCAAGAACATCAAGAAACAGGGACAGTCTGGTTTATTTTCAACTGATTTTCAACCACTCAGATAGGTTAGACAGGAGTGTTTGTGCATTAGCTAATACTTTTGAACTTGCAGGCAGTGAATCTGTTAATGAAGGAACCTGGTTGAAGAAGTATGGAAAGTTTACATCACTGTATAGTTATTCAGAGGAAGGCAAGAAGAAGCCTTTAGTCTATGGTTAGATGCGAAGGCATTTAAATGGTTTCAAGGCAAAAGATTTTGAGAACAATTCTTGGGACGAGTTAAGACTGCTTTTCTGGTGAGATACCAGCAAAATTCCATGAAAATATATGAAAGGCTTCATAGGCTGTATAACAGGAAGCAGAAGACTCTGAAATTTTGAGGATTTCCTACAAGACCTTGAATATGAGTCAAGGAGCCTTTGGTGAAGGATGCTGTCATCAGAAACTCAAAACCTCAGACTAGGCAGTTTATACTGACAAGGCCTCACAGCACCAACGACCAGGTCCGTGAGAGTGCCAGGATGGCGGATGTTGCTTTTGGAAGCACATCTCCCTCAAATGTTACAAGCCCAACGATTGTAATTTAAAAAAATTATTTTTTAAAAAGCAGACCTTCTCTGAAGTGAACTTACTGCTTGTATTCAATGTATGTGTCATTATCTACAATGGTTTTATTTAAATATATCAGAGATTTCAAGAACATGACACTCTGATGTCCAGATCTCCAGCTGCGGTGACCAAGTGGCGTGTGGAGTTGTAGCACATTGTCAACTTCCAGTCACAACCAGAACTACAACCACTGCCACTTGTCCCCAGCTTCCTGAAGGCCAGCCCAGGACCTTCCAACTCTGACCCATCCTGGAGGTGGGTGTGTGTAGGGAGGAACAGAGAAACGTCAATTGTCACACCGACATTCTTTGTGTTCTGAGCTACCATTACAACATTGCTTGGCTCCTTGACAGTTCTGACTGAAGTCAGCATCTGACACTAGAACACTAGATGTCCTGGAGAAGGGGGTGGTCGAGTTGTGGAAGGCAAACATAGACGTTCTGATCGAAGAGAAAAAGAGAAAACAATCCTTCCAATGTTCACTCTGTGCATACAGAAATACGCCTTCCATGAGGAGTTGCATTTGTACATATCACGTATCGACATTTCGCAGAACAAATGGGTTCATATATTTCAATATAAATTGCCTGATTTATCTGGAAAGGGCAATAGGTCCAAATATCAAGAGTTTTGTGGAACCCACACATCTCTATGATAGATGGATATACACAGAAGGCCGAACAAGAGTTGCTCACGCACTGGAGAAATCTCAGTAAAGACAGGAAAGCATACACTGAATATTATAAGTTAGTACTTCATACTTCTTTTAGGACTGTAGTGTGTAAGCAGTCCAAGATTGCTAGGACATAGTATAGGTATGTCCACATAGTGTTGTTTCACAGGATGACTTCAGAGCTGAACTGTCCTATTTTTATATGTATTAATGCTTTTTCGTATATATACGGGAGACCCTAAGTGCGGACGAGAGACTCCTCCAGTGGGAATTCGCTACAGTGACCCCGGACGAGGACCTGCAAGGACGAGTCCCTCACATGGAAAGAAGCTTTCTCCACGACAGATGGAACTTGCTTGCCCTCCCTTGGACCGCACTGTATACAGAGGACCACTCACTATCCAGGAAAGCTCGCCTCTACGACTACCGTCGAATCAAGTCACCTTCAAACTATCGCATGTCCTGGAGATAGGGGTGAGTGAGGTTGGAAAGGTGAACAATCTTGTTCTAAATGTGGGCAAAGAAAGAACTAAACCTTCACAATCAAGTCACCTCCTTCCCTTCAAACTATGGCTTGTCCTGGAGATAGGGGGTGGTGGAGTAAGGAAAGGTGAACAATTTTGTTCTAAATGTGGGCAATGAAAGGCCAAACCTTCGGAATAAAGTCACCTCCTGACTTTGAAACTACCGTATATCCTGGAGATGGGGGTGGTGGAGTCAGGAAAGGTGAACAATCTTGTTCTAAATGAGGGCAAAGAAAGAAATAAACCTTCACAATCAAGTCACCTCCTGGCTTGCAAACTATCGCATGTCCTGGAGATGGGGGTATGTGAGTTCAGAGAGGTAAACAATCTTGTTCTAAATGTGGACAAAGAAAGAACTAAACCTTCACAATCAAGTCACCTCCTTCCCTTCAAACTATCGCATGTCCTGGAGATTGGGGTGGTGGAGTCAGGAAAGGTGAACCAAGGTACACCAAGGCATTTAAATGGTTTAAGGCAAAAGATTTTGAGAACAATTCTTGGGACGAGTTAAGACTGCTTTTCTAGCGAGATACCAGCAAAATTCTGTGAAAATATAGCCTGGGTGGGCACAGAACCAGGAAATGTATTGAATTATTGTCTTTCATGGTGATTTTGAATGTTGGAAAATGTTTAGAAAGACAGCAAACAATTCAACTCTTCATTATTTGATCCCGAATAGACTTGTTTAGTAAAAAGCAGACCTACTCCGAAGTGAACTAACTGCTTGTAGGTTTTATACAATGTAGGTATGTGTCATTATCTACAATGGTTTTATTTTACTTCATCAGAGATGTCAAGAACATGACACTCTGATGCCAAGATCTCCAGCTGCGGTGACCATGTGGAGTGCGGAGTTGTAGCACATTGTCAACTTCCAGTCACAACCAGAACTACAACCACTGCCACTTGTCCCCAGCTTCCTGAAGGCCAGCCCAGGACCTTCCAACTCTGACCCATCCTGGAGGTGGGTGTGTGTAGGGAGGAACAGAGAAACATCAATTGTCACACCGACATTCTTTGTGTTCTGAGCTACCATTACAACATTGCTTGGCGCCTGGACAGTTCTGACTGAAGTCAGCATCTGACACTAGAACACTAGATGTCCTGGAGAAGGGGGTGGTCAAGTTGTGGAAGGCAAACATAGACGTTCTGATCGAAGAAAAAAAAGAGAAAACAATCCTTCCAATGTTCACTCAAGAGGGAATTTAATATTTTTTTAACTTATGCTGCAATTACTACATTAATGCATTTACTGCTTGTTCTTGACAGAAAGAGTGAGTGAGTGAGTTGGGTTTAACGCCGCTTTTTGATATTATTCCAGTCATATCGCGGCGTGTCAGCTTAACTTGGGAGGAAAGCCCGAAGTGATGCAGGTTTCAGACGTTTACCACTTCGGTGAAACCCAAGAGCACGGGTATGGTGCTGACAAACCTAGAAACATAATCGGGGCGAACCGGGATTCGAACCCACAATCATAGGTTTCTGGCGTGCCCAAGGGACGCAACTCTGCACATCGAATCGCGGCGCCTTAGACGACTGGGCCACCCGTGTTCCCCTTGACAGAAAGAAGAGCTGTGTGAGGTCTTGCTGAAGAAGATGTAGCTGACAAGCAGAGGGTCAGTCTACAATAACTTCAGTCACATGCACCCAGTAGGGTTGCTGGAGTGAAATATGTTAATTGCCCTGTTTCCACCAAGTGGGAATAATGACCAAGAGACAGGTGATGTACAAGAACACTCAGTACACAAATAAAACAGATACATTTCCTTGTTATCAAAGCCTGGATGAAGACGATGACAATGTGTTTATTATCACGTTCAGGACAAGTTAATTACGGGTCAACTCTGAAATACAGAGTTGTTCTATGACCACTCATTTAGTGAAAGAAAAGATCGCCTATGATGTATTGCTGTCCAAGAGCATGTGGTTTAAACGTGAGGTCACTACCTGGCAGATAGATAGCACTTGATCTAAATATCCATTACACACCAAGAATAGGAACTTGCTTACGTCCTCCACGAGGAAAACTCTAGGCTGCTAGGTCAAAGGGCAAAACCCTGCTACCCAATACATACCGAAGTTTCCAGAAACGGCAGACAGACGGCAGACTGAGACAGGCAAACATAACCAGCAGCACAGTGAAAGGCCCAGAGTGTCAGAACCAGACTCAGAACCATTTTGTACTTGCAGTAATAAACCTCTGTTCCTGAACTACGAAACGTGTTGTGTTAAATGTAGGGGACTTCTTTGGGTGTCATGACCTGGATTCAGGAAAGTAAAGACATTAAGTACAGGGTAAGTGAATTTTGGTTCAGCAAATGTTTAGAAAGACAGCAAACAATTCAACGCTTCATTATTTGATCCTGAATAGACTGGTTTAGTAAAAAGCAGACCTACTCCGAAGTGAGGTAACTGCTTGTAGGTTTTATACAATGTAGGTATGTGTCATTATCTACAATGGTTTTATTTTACTTTATCAGAGATGTCAAGAACATGACACTCTGATGTCCAGATCTCTAGCTGCGGTGACCAAATGGCGTGTGGAGTTTTAGCACATTGTCAACTTCCAGCCACAACCAGAACTACAACCACTGCCACTTGTCCCCAGCTTCCTGAAGGCCAGCCCAGGACCTTCCAACTCTGACCCATCCTGGAGGTGGGTGTGTGTAGGGAGGAACAGAGAAACGTCAATTGTCACACCGACATTCTTTGTGTTCTGAGCCACCATTACAACATTGCCTGGCTCCTGGACAGTTCTGACTGAAGTCAGCATCTGACACTAGAACACTAGATGTACTGGAGAAGGGGGTGGTCGAGTTGTGGAAGGCAAACATAGACGTTCTGATCGAAGAGAAAAAGAGAAAATAATCCTTCCAATGTTCACTCTGTGCATACAGAAATACGCCTTCCATGAGGAGTTGCATTTGTACATATCACGTATCGACATTTCACAGAACAAATGGGTTCATATATTTCAATATAAATTGCCTGATTTATCTGGAAAGGGCAATAGGTCCAAATATCAAGAGTTTTGTGGAACCCACACATCTCTATGATAGATGGATATACACAGAAGGCCGAACGAGAGTTGCTCACGCACTGGAGAAATCTCAGTAAAGACAGGAAAGCATACACTGAATATTATAAGTTAGTACTTCATACTTCTTATAGGACTGTAGTGTGTAAGCAGTCCAAGATTGCTAGGACATAGTATAGGTATGTCCACATAGTATTGTTTCACAGGATGACTTCAGAGCTGAAGTGACCTATTTTTATATGTATTAATGCTTTTTCGTATATATATACGGGAGACCATAAGTGCGGACGAGAGACTCCTCCAGTGGGAATTCGCTACAGTGACCCCGGACGAGGACCTGCAAGGACGAGTCCCTCACATGGAAAGAAGCTTTCTCCACGACAGATGGAACTTGCTTGCCCTCCCTTGGACCGCACTGTATACAGAGGACCACTCACTATCCAGGAAAGCTCGCCTCTACGACTACCGTCGAATCAAGTCACCTTCAAACTATTCGTGTCCTGGAGATGGGGGTGAGTGAGGTTGGAAAGGTGAACAATCTTGTTCTAAATGTGGGCAAAGAAAGAACTAAACCTTCACAATCAAGTCACCTCCTTCCCTTCAAACTATCGCATGTCCTGGAGATTGGGGTGGTGGAGTCAGGAAAGGTGAACCAAGGTACACCAAGGCATTTAAATGGTTTAAGGCAAAAGATTTTGAGAACAATTCTTGGGACGAGTTAAGACTGCTTTTCTAGCGAGATACCAGCAAAATTCTGTGAAAATATAGCCTGGGTGGGCACAGAACCAGGAAATGTATTGAATTAATGTCTTTCATGGTGATTTTGAATGTTGGAAAATGTTTAGAAAGACAGCAAACAATTCAACGCTTCATTATTTGATCCTGAATAGACTGGTTTAGTAAAAAGCAGACCTACTCCGAAGTGAGATAACTGCTTGTAGGTTTTATACAATGTAGGTATGTGTCATTATCTACAATGGTTTTATTTTACTTTATCAGAGATGTCAAGAACATGACACTCTGATGTCCAGATCTCCAGCTGCTGTGACCAAGTGGAGTGTGGAGTTGTTGCACATTGTCAGCTTCCAGTCACAACCAGAACTACAACCACTGCCACTTGTCCCCAGCTTCCTGAAGGCCAGCCCAGGACCTTCCAACTCTGACCCATCCTGGAGGTGGGTGTGTGTAGGGAGGAACAGAGAAACATCAATTGTCACACCGACATTCTTTGTGTTCTGAGCCACCATTACAAAATTGCTTGGCTCCTGGACAGTTCTGACTGAAGTCAGCATCTGACACTAGAACACTAGATGTCCTAGAGATGGGGGTGGTCAAGTTGTGGAAGGCAAACATAGACGTTCTGATCGAAGAGAAAAAGAGAAAACGATCCTTCCAATGTTCACTCAAGAGGGAATTTAATATTTTTTTAACTTATGCTGCAATTACTACATTAATGCATTTACTGCTTGTTCTTGACAGAAAGAGTGAGTGAGTGAGTTGGGTTTAACGCCGCTTTTGACATTATTCCAGTCATATCGCGGCATGTCAGCTTAACGTGGGAGGAAAGCCCGAAGTGATGCAGGTTTTAGACGTTTACCACTTCGGTGAAACCCAAGAGCACGGGTATGGTGCTGACAAACCTAGAAACATAATCGGGGCGAACCGGGATTCGAACCCACAATCATAGGTTTCTGGCGTGCCCAAGGGACGCAACTCTGCACATCGAATCGCGGCGCCTTACACGACTGGGCCACCCGTGTTCCCCTTGACAGAAAGAAGAGCTGTGTGAGGTCTTGCTGAAGAAGATGTAGCTGACAAGCAGAGGGTCAGTCTACAATAACTTCAGTCACATGCACCCAATAGGGTTGCTGGAGTGAAATATGTTAATTGCCCTGTTTCCACCAAGTGGGAATAATGACCAAGAGACAGGTGATGTACAAGAACACTCAGTACACAAATGAAACAGATACATTTCCTTGTTATCAAAGCCTGGATGAAGACGATGACAATGTGTTTATTATCACGTTCAGGACAAGTTAATTACGCGTCAACTCTGAAATACAGAGTTGTTCTATGACCACTCACTTAGTGAAAGAAAAGATAGCCTATGATGTATTGCTGTCCAAGAGCATGTGGTTTAAACGTGTGGTCCCTACCTGGCAGATAGATAGCACTTGATCTCAATATCCATTACACACCACGAATAGGAACTTGCTAACGTCCTCCACGAGGAAAACTCTAGGCTGCTAGATCAAAGGGCAAAACCCTGCTACCCAATACATACCGAAGTTTCCAGAAACGGCAGACAGACGGCAGACAGACAGCAGAATGAGACAGGCAAACATAACCAGCAGCACAGTGAAAGGCCCAGAGTGTCAGAACCAGACTCAGAACCATTTTGTACTTGCAGTAATAAACCTCTGTTCCTGAACTACGAAACGTGTTGTGTTAAAGGTAGGGGACTTCTTTGGGTGTCATGACCTGGATTCAGGAAAGTAAAGACATTAAGTACAGGGTAAGTGAATTTTGGTTCAGCAAATGTTTAAAAAGACAGCAAACAATTCAACTCTTCATTATTTGATCCTGAATAGACTTGTTTAGTAAAAAGCAGACCTGCTCTGAAGTGAACTAACTGCTTGTAGGTTTTATTCAATGTAGGTATGTGTCATTATCTACAGTGGTTTTATTTTATTTCATCAGAGATGTCAAGAACATGACACTCTGATGCCAAGATCTCCAGCTGCGGTGACCAAGTGGAGTGTGGAGTTGTTGCACACTGTCAACTTCCAGTCACAACCAGAACTACAACCACTGCCACTTGTTCCCAGCTTCCTGAAGGCCGACCCAGGACCTTCCAACTCTGACCCATCCTGGAGGTGGGTGTGTGTAGGGAGGAACAGAGAAACATCAATTGTCACACCGACATTCTTTGTGTTCTGAGCCACCATTACAACATTGCTTGGCTCCTGGACAGTTCTGACTGAAGTTAGCATCTGACACTAGAATACTAGACAGATATGTCCTGGAGATGGGGGTGGTGGAGTTGTGGAAGGCAAACATTGACGTTCTGATCGAAGAGAAAAAAAGAGAAAACAATCCTTCTAATGTTCACTCAAGAGGGAACTCCATAATATGCTACCTTAATGCTTTTACTGCTGTTTATTTGACAGAAAGAAGAACTGTCTGAGGTCTTGCTGAAGGAGAAGCTGTTCCAACTCGTGGTGTCTCATTCCC